CGGAGCCAATAAATTAAGAAAACAAAAAAAAAAAAAAAAAAGAAGAGAAGAAAGAGAAGACAGAAAGGAATGGGAGCAAGGGGAACTTACTATGACATTAAGATCATCCAATTCCAAACCTGTGGCGCATAATAAAAATTTCTCGTATTAACGATGCCCTGTGGTTTAGCGATTTTCGAGTGATTTCAGTCAGAGCTTACCCGATCCAACTGCATTGATGCGAACTGCTCTCTCAGAGTTTGATTTATCTGGTAGAGCCTGAATATATAATGGCGTGGTGGTGGTGGAGGTAAGCGTTCAGTTGATTCTTGTCAATTATTGTTCGACTTGCGAATTCTCGCCGTACCTCTAAAATGTTAAAGACCATTTCCCTCGCGACGCCCTTCCTGTTAAAAGAGACGCTGTCTTCAAGATCATATACAATGCTGTCTGCAGATATGTTTAAAGAACTTTTAATCTTGCGCTCTTCGCTGCCCGGGACTATAAATGTGACGAAGAGAATGAGATACAAAGGTAGAAACCGGTGGGAAGTCGAACGAGTGGTGAGTACCATAAAATAAGGCCCGTCTGGGGCGCGGTACGGATTTTTGTGTAGGAACTTCAATTTTGCTTGGTGCGTCACTTGCATAATTTCGCGTAAGGCGCGAAAATTCCCTCGATACGTGTCTTATCCATGGATGTACGCTTTTCGCCACTATTTATTAGTTGGAAAGATCAGGTGCGAACGAGCTCGTTCTTCTGAAGATAGAGAAACGCAAAAAAATCATACCGGTGAAGGATCGTAAGGTGAACGGGAACATTTGAGGAATTACTGATTCGTGTCGCGAATCATGAGCCTTTCTTTTTTTTTTTTTTTTTAATAATATATATTATAAAATCGACCACCTTTGATTGGTCAATCGCTAAAATACACCGTCGAATTTTCGATTGGCCATTTTATATTACGTATGAGATCTATGAGAGGGGTATGTAACCTAAATGTGCTGTCACGCGATCATCAAATTTTGAGCTCATTATGACATGAAGGAATGCTAAGAAAGAAAAAAAAAAAAAGGAGGATCATAAAATAAATATGAAAATCCACTATAGACAATGGCAGCATATTATACAACCAAAGAAAATACATCAAGAATACAACCAATTGTTCGATCGATATTTGCAATTAACAACCATTGAAGAAAAGAAATATTAAATATGAGAGAGTAGGAATAGTTAACTAAACTTTGCAAATTAAGAATTACAGTATCCCGTTGATTATAGTCGACGTAAGTAAAATAAATTAAACCAAAAATTTTTTTCCCACGTTCCAAGAAATGTTTTTCAATCTCAAGAACCAATCTGGTTCTAAGATTACGTCATGTCATTGGTGTTTTAAGTGGGGTGTATCATTCTAGTCAAAGTTAAAGAGAGCTAAATCAGATCGAAGTCTTTATGGTGAACAACAAAGCACACTAAGGAATGAACATGTCGTTTTTAGAATTATCAAAATTTATCACAGCGCGAGTTAATCATGATCATGAATGATTTTCCTGATTCAAAATACTGTGATTGAATATATGTCGACCGCCCTGGACTCATTTTTGTCATCCAGCAAATTAGGATTGAATGTTTACTGAAGAGCCGGACTCCGATTCAACCATAATCACTTCCGACAATGTGTTTCGAATTATGTTTGGAAGGCTAGATTGTCTGAGAGGTGCTGGGGAGGATAACACCATGCCCCCTGATATTGCTGATGAAAAGTCATCCTCGTGTTCATGATTAACTTCCATATGTGGTAAAGTGTACGTGGGTTTCTTGGCTGATGCTAACTCGGTTCCCTTAATTCCAAGTGTATTAAGCATCGAGGGTAAAGCTCCTAATCTCGCATAGAACATTTGTAGACGTAGTCTTAAACATTCGGCGTATAGGTCACCTATGGTACGGTTGTTGTAGAGACCTTGACGAACGTTACGGATGAATACATAAAATTCACATACGGCCACCAATCGATCGCGACAATAACGGTCAATGAGCGACCAATCATCTAGATTGGTTATACGATATTGAAATGTCAAAGGACCTGGTCGACCGCAGCATTGGCAGCCCATCCTTGGATAGGTTGAATTTCCAGAAATACGATCCCACAGAGCGGGCCTTGCTGCAGTGTTGCGGACGGGTGAGTTGAGATTAAGGGCCAATTCCTTTTCGGCACCGGGAGGGGCTTCCTCGATGAAACACGTGTTGGCAACAATGGCTTCAATTATCTTGCGAGAGGAGACTCGTAGGTTGCTGCCGAACCTCATGCAAGCATCCACATCTTCCTCCAAGCAATGTTTCATGAAGGGTATGGTGTGAATTCTTTGAAGTCGAACATTTATGCTCGTTTCAACAAATTCTTTAAATTCGCTTATTAACTCGGGATCTATGCCGATCCCGTCTTCGCCTGTTGGTCCCGGCAAAGTCGCTGCTGCTTCCGGTGATTTCTCACGAAGTCCGAATAATTCTGCAAAGTCAATGCTAGCCCTGAACGACGGATCGCTGGAACTCGAACGTTTGCTTTCCGCTTGTGGTTGCTCTTGTGTCATGTGTTCCATCTTTTCTTTTAACTCTTTGAGTTGCATACTTTCGGCCGCCAAGCGTTCTTGCGTCTCCAAAAGTTGTTTTTCCAAGATTTTTTGCTGAACCTCCAACTCATGTCGCTGCTTTGCTTCAGAAGCTACCATACCGTTTGCCTGCTCAAAGAGTGACCGACTTAGCTCCTCGAGCTCACCTTCCACCATATCCTTGGAATGTTGTAACTCGGCTACCTTGTCGATCTCATTAACATATTTTTCGTTAAGGTAGGCCATGTCTTTTTGTAGAGCAGCAAATTCATCAGTCTTGGAATCGATCTGATCTTCTAGTTCCTCTATTTGCTTTCGCAAATGCTCTATTTCGTCGTTCTGCCTCTCCACCTTATCGAACTCCTCTTTTATTCGGTTGTTAGCAACTTCCAAATCATCAAGCAACTGTAGCTTTTGTTTATTTAGCTCCGCCAGTATGGGTATAGTTCTGTCGCAGTCGTTGCAATTCGCAGTACCCGGAACTACATTTATCTTTAAGCAATGACAATCGGCTACATTTTCTTCAATCTCAGCTTTCTCGTCTAATATTTCTCCTATTTGTTCAGCTGAATGGTTGTTGGAAAGTTCAGAAGGTTGCGTCTCTAAAGGGCTACTATCATTAGGGGGATCAGTCCCGCGTGAGGAAATTAAGGAAATTGAGGATTCATTGACTTTATCCCTAACGGCTTGAATCCTAGAGTATAACTCTTTTATGGGGAAATCTTGTCCATTTGTCACGGGATTTGTGGGTGGTTCGGTCTCAGTCATTGCTGTGAGAATAAAACGGAAATGATTTAATTCACTATTTATTACGACTGTATTTTCATTGGAAAGCGTCGAGCGTAAAGGTAAACGTTAGAGGCGCACGAAAATCGTCGGTACAAAAAGACAAAGTTTCGCTAGAGATCTATAACAGAAAAGAACGAGCATAGTATTACCGGCTTCCCTACAGTGTTATATACCCCGGGGTTCTCTCGTGTCAGCACGTTGAAGACCCACAAACTTTAGCTTCCTACAGCGTTTGAACCCTTAATAGTAAGAATAAACTAAAAATTTGGAGGTGCAAGAAAGAAAATGACATAGGTAGCGTAAAAACTTATATAGATTTGGTAATATAAGTCACGGCGGTTGTGGCTCAATTTTCTAATGAAATCTGATTGGTTCGCCGTGAATGTCATCCAAAAACAATCGTCCGTTCTATGAAAGATACTCTGTTCGACATCATGTCGCTGCCCAGCCTCGATGAGCTTGAACAACTCCCGGAGATTGGTTTGTGATTTTGTGCAAATACTGGTTATTAAGATTTTTAATAATATCTGTAAGGTTTACAACTTTATTTTATTTGTCTGATAATTCCAGAGAAACAATGGGCGGTCAAGGCCATGCACCATGCGGAAATTTATTTTAGACTGATATCATCGGTTGATACCCAGAAACTTCGTTTGACTCCGTACTGTATTTTATTTTATTTTATTTTTATTTTTTTTCCTTTTTGAACACATGTTTTACAATCCTGTTACTTGACTTTATCTCCAAACACCTTCATACACCATGCGATTGCTTTCGCTTTCTTATGAAAAACAGTAGTGATGAGGAGATATATGAGGACTTCAAGAGTTCTTTTCCCGACTTCTCAATAGACGTGGTGGACGAAGAAACGATGAAATCAAACGAGGGAAAGGAGAAATGGAGAACATGGATGGAGAAGTACAAAGATAAAGTTGAAGATTATAACTTTGGCACTTTGTTAAGAAAAAATGTGAACGACGATTATACAGAAGAAAATACCATTTTTGGTGAGTCTCCCCTTGAGAAAATTCTCGAACAATAATTTATATGGATAATTTGTCATTTACTCCATTATGTGCGATTGCCCAAAATGAATGATGGTAGTTGCACGAATGCAGGTATGGTCGATCCTATTTCTGCCATTTTTATTCATTTTTTTTTTTTTTTTTTCATTTATGGATTTTAAAAATTTTAATCATTAGTTTTTCGCCATTGAAATAGCGAGGAATAGAAATGGATTGAATTCTCACTTCCTTCGAAAAAAGGGTTAAATTTTTTTTTTGTAATGTTTAGTTTCCAAGTTCTATGGGACCAATATCTTGTACATAATATTTTTTTTTTTTTCATCGGTTGTCCGAAAAGTTGGATCTTGAAATTTTTGTTATGTATTTAAAATGTTTCCTTGCATAATACGAAATATGTATGCACGTACGACGTTTCCGGTGTAAAGACATTAAAGGTAATTTGGATTTACTTATTAATATAAGCGCGTTTTCCTTAATATGTGACACAGCTCGCCTTATCCGAACACCTTATTTCAAATTTAAAAATAAAAATCATTTTTATTAGACAAATTCGGGTTAACCGTTATTAACGGTTTTATAAAATTTTGATACTTGTCTAAATTGCCGCAGCCCATTCTTCTCTTACATTCCCTGATATTTTGAGACTTGGTTTTTTTAGCTTTATTATTTACTAAACAAGGATTAGAAATATTTTTTGAATATTCTATTAAATGAATATTTTGGATTAATACAGCTAAGCATTATAAAATATTTCATTAAGCTAAGCTACTGTATAAGAATAAAATATAAAAAGATTATTATTAATTTGTAGATTATAAGACAAGTTTGATCTTTTTTTAATACTGTATATTCAATTAACTTATCCGTCTTAGTTAATTTTTGGTAGTTTACGTTTATTCTTCATATTCATTCCATAGACATAACAATCACTTGTTAATATTCGAATGCTTTATATCCTTCTTTTTTTAATTCAGATTCAATAACAATCGACTAGACACGCTCTATCAGAATCATCGGATCTTCGATAACACTTGAATGCCATTTGGTCATGTCATCTTTTCAATAACTTGCTTCATTATCTAATGAGTTCCTCTTTGTTGCTTTTTTAGGCCTAGGATCAACTCGGTACTTCTTTCCTTTAATCCTTCTTCGGCATGCTGGTTAAAAAATTTGCGCATATGCATACGTACGATAAAATTTCCCTTAAACTGACTTTTACCTTCAATTACCTTTTATAAACGTCATGACTATTAAAAATGACGAAACTATTTAACAGGGGGAGAGGTTGACCAAATACTTAAAAAAAAATAATAATAATTTATTGCACATATTATGGAAAATTATACGGTTAAGCATTAAAAATAATATAAAAAGTATTTTTTTTAATTATTTTATTAATTATTATTCATTATAAATTTGGCTCAGAAATCTTTAAAATTTTAGTTCAATAAGTAGAGCTACTAAGAAAAAAATAGTATTTTAAAACAGTAGCCTACTATTTGATAATATATGCGTGTATAAATCAACAGAACATGCATGCATCAGATTAACGATTCACAATTCTGGAAGTTCGCGTTAATAACTTTAGATTGCAAATGCAAGCTTTATTTTGTTATCGAAGTAGCGATCACTCTAGTTAATTTATTACATTTCTGCCTTTATATTTACTTTTCAGGAAAATGGTAATAATACAAAAAAATTGATTTCACGCTCAAAGTTACGTATAATCATGCAAATCATCAACGAAATATAGTCCGTACGTGCATCCGACGCTACTAATTAATGCATTACTCTTCGGCCACTTCCTCTCCTACGTATTTAGCCATCATGCTCATATTTACAATCTTGAAATCCTTCCCTCCCTTAACTTTAACAACACCATCCACGCCATCTACACCAACAAGAATACCTAATTGTCCCTTGAGATCTCCTGCAATCATCTTGATTTTTTCTTTCTTTTGTGGTTGTACGGGTTCCAAAAACTTCTGTTCTATAAAACATTGCTCTTGTGAATCATCTAGGTTTACGAGGCAGGTGGTTGGTGATTCAAGGCGGTTGATCACGCCCATCCGATTGTCATATTGCCCTTTATTAAACGAAACACCTCTTTGATCAGGCACAATACGAATTTGTATGTCGACAGTTAACCATTCTTTAGAATTTGAATTGACTGTCAAAAAAAAAACAAAAGTTTTTTTTTAATACATTTACATTTTTATGTTGTAGAAGTGATTATAATAAGATTTACCCTCTTGTCTGACATTTCTAAAGTCACCACCCGTGGGAATCGTGCTTGCCGATACAAACGGTGTTTGAGGTAGCAAATTAGCTGGTGTCATAGGTCCAGGGCCAGGAGTGGCGGGTATCATAATGTTACTGGTGTTTCCGGGAGTTGCCATAGCATAAAGTGGAGTTTCAGAGGCCCCTGGTGTCGGTGCGGTACACGCTGGAGTTTCAGCTCCAGGTGTTGGTGCAGTAAAGCTTTGGTTCTCAGTTGCTGGTGTAGCAGGATAGTTGGCCTCCCATGTCGAAGTTCGTCCCCGATTTTCTGCAACATATGCAGGAGTCCTACTTCCCGTATCCCAAGCAGGTGTTCTTGAACCATCAGAACCAGCGTAGGCAGGAGTTTTACTGCCAAGATCCCAGGCAGGTGTCCTAGAACCATCGTTCAAATGAACAGCCGGTGTTCTTGATCCATCTGCATGTGATGGTGTACGCGAACCATCTGAAGTGATCTGGTTTGACATAGGATTATTCCAGGTTGGAGTGCGAGAGCCATTCCACGAATTAGGAGTCCTAACGTTACTCGACTGCCAACTCGAACCTGAGTAATTTGAAGGTGCCGGGCTATATTCTCTAGTGTTTCTATTCGTGATGGGTTCTGACAATACAACTGGCCGACTCGTGCTATTAAATGCAGATATGGTTAATATTAAGCAAATACCTTTAAGAAAGATCAATAAACATTAACTGCTTACTCGACATTCAGCAATTTGGTCTTTTCCACATTCACAATACTACAATTCGTGTGCAATTCTACTCGCGCCATCACCGGAGTAGTATCTTTCACTATTCCTAGGTACCCTTTATAAGGTCCCTTTGTAATGGTAACGGTCTGGCCGATTAAGGGATCGGTGTAACTTCGATTATTTTTAAAACCTCCTCGACCTCGACCGCGGCCACGTCCACCATAACCACCACGACCGCCGTGATTGTATGATGGACGACTAAAGGATTGCGGTGATTGCGCAGGCATAGATGCGAGGACTTCGGGATTGAGTTTGTCGAGAGCTAAACCCACCTAACAATGTGTAAATGCAATTTTAGTGTATTTGAAGAAACTCAAATTACATCACAAATATAAAATCTATAATTACAGGTCTCGTGTTTTTATTCGTCAAATTCGAGCACTCTGCGACAAAAACACCACCATTTTCCATAATTCCACCGCGATTCAATATAAATGCAAACTTACGGAACAAATGAAGTATCTTTCCTTCCCGACCCTGCATAATTTACGTGAGATATAAGACTATGGGTTAACTTGTAATACAATCGATATATTAATAAGGATTAAACGTATCGCAATACTTACCTCAGCGGATACATCGGTAACAATATCGCCAACTTTTATCATTATTTGATTTTGACCGAGTGCTGAAGTAAATCGACGTGTATCTTCTTTCTTGATGATTTCATCTCGTGTGTAAGTCGAAATATTTCCGTCTGTTTCCAAAATGGTGTATTTAGATCGATCGACATTAACTATCACACCAACTTGGCCACTTTATAATGCATGGGGGACACAAGGCATTCGTTCTCAGTTGAAGTGGGAACCATCAAAAAGTCATGCTAATAAATGTGGTCTAGATACTAACGCTGATGTTTGAACAAGATCCTGAACTTCGTAATCTGACCCGGATGACCTAACACCAGTTGACTCTGTTATCTTTTTTAAATCCTTTGAGAATACTTTTATCTGCAATAAATAAATTAGGTAAACGAATGACTTCACAAAGTGCAAGCAATCGTCGAAATTAGAACTAACCTCGGATTTGGTCAGGTCAGACCACAAAGTAACATGGTTCCTCACACTATCAATGTTTACGATCATTCCGGTCTCCCCTTTATGCGATCCGTTGAGCACCTGAACATGGTCTCCTATGCTAAACCTTTTAGCCAAATGCTCCGCCAGGAATGTCACTTGCTGTGGAACTCCCGATTTGTACCGAGTGAATGTAACATATTCTTTATTCACGGCTTCCACAATACCATAAACTCCACGATCGCTACCACCAATAACCTCAACTTCATCACCAGGGGTAAAAATAACCTTTGTTGGCAGAGCAATCGGAGCATCGGAACTTCTTGCTGTGTAAAATTTAACGTAGATATTAATGACCGGGATGAATTAAGTAATAACCATACAAGCAAAATAAGTACAATTTGAATCAGCTGCCGAAAGGTATTCAGTGATTTCGTCCATGGTTGGACTAACATTTTCAAATACCTAAAGAGTAGAGAAGTTAATGGAATTTTCAAAACTCGAGAAGATGGAGACAATATTTGAATGATGATATTACCAAATTTGTGACTTTTATATCTCTTTCTATATATCCATTATCAAAATCCTTAACGGTAGTTTTCTTTTTCCGCTTGTTCGAATCATTCTCACTCTCTTCAATGCGAGGGACACACCTGATTCTTACTTCATTTGGATTTTCACCATATACCCATGAAATCTGGTGGGAACAAAATCATGCATGATTTAAAATGTCCAAAATTAATTTATTATTTAAAAAAATGTAACAATACCTGAACAAGGTCTCCCGCATATTTTCCTTTTCTGACTTTAGCCCATGATCCTTCCTTAAGAGAGATATCTTTCTTTCTTATGGTTAATACGTGATCTCTTTCCGCTAATGGCACGAGTTTTATTTGCGAATTAAACAGGTTATTCATGTTTAAGATGGCCTATTAATGTTATCAGGTTAATTATAATAGTTTTCAATACAATAATGCTATTAATTTATATTTACCTTTTGCACATGTGCAAGCTTCCAAGCTTCGACGTATACGTATCCTTTGAGTGCATCTCGACATGTAGCGGATAATATTTCAATAGGGTGTTGAGAATATTCGCTTTCCTTAAACCGCCTCATAAACTGAAGAACTACATCTTTTTCTTTCCCTTGCTTTTCAAGTTAAAATATGAGATCATGACACAGCTGCGTATTTCAAAGGTGAAAAGAGATGAATATTCACCTTACAACGGATGACGAACAAATTAGGCTGATTTACACCAGCAATAAATTGGGCTGGTATGCCGGTATCGACTTGACTAATCTGACCACGACGTCTTCCATAACGTTCATTCATCTGTAAGGCTATTTCCTCTGCACGAAGGTTCTCTTCCTCAATATCCCGACGATCAAGTTCCATTGCTACTCTTCTTGTATCTCTGGACGACAGCCTTGTTTCAGCCTCAAGTTCATCTCGGTTATCAATAAATTCTGTTCAGATATTCACGTAAAGGTCTATGACTACAGGCCATAAATTTATCGCATCCCGAAAAAAAAAAAAACAATAATCTATATTACGTTGAGTAATGAACATATCCTCCTCATCTTCCTCATCTTCCTCTTCATCATCAACTTCAGCTTCCAGTAATAAGAATTTGTTTTTAGGATCATCCTTACGACGCTTTTGCTTTTTTCCACGCTATTTTGTATTATATGATTGTAACTTGATTTAGAAACGCTATATTGCAAAAATAAATAAATTGACCTTCGAACTTACTGGCTCTTCTTCCTCCTCGTCATCGTCGTCGTCTTCCTCTTCTCTTTCTTCCTCTTCCTCAGAATCTATCTCGTTTTCCTCCAAATCTTGGTCTAGATCATTATTATCATCGATCCAACCTCCGTCGGCTTCATCATTAATTTCTTCGTCAGAAGAGACCCTCCTATCGCGAGATTTGCGAGACATAATTAAAAGGTCTATTGATCTAAATTATTTTGAATTGTTATTGATACAAAATTGTTGGAATTTTGTGTATATACCGGAACTTAAAATTTTACGCACTCCGGTATACGGAAAATTTTTTGATGATCTTTACCAAATTCTATACTTATCTTTATTAATAAAACATTGATTTTTTTTTTTTTTTTTATACCCGTGGTCAGGCCAGTACTGTGTGTTTATTAATCATTAAGAAAACCGATTGAGATACATAGGGTAATTGCATCATGGCTAAACTAAAAGATTCATACTGATATATTCATCAATGGCTTTCAATTCTCAAAAGAGTTTCAGCCTCTAAGTGCAACCTTGGAAACAATATTTTGCTCTGAATTAAGTTTTGGGTAAAAACCCTCTTAACTTACCCATCATTGTCAGCAGGTTGTCACTGCTTATTATCCTCCAAGGAACTGAATTTGAGAAACTACAAAGGGGGAAAGGAAAAAATAAAAGAAAAGGGAGATATCTAAAAATATGCAAATATATTATATGAAAATAAAAATAAAAAATAAAAAATAAAATTGCTTCATATTCTCCAAAGAATCTCTGCTAGAAACCTCTTCTTATTAGGAGTCAACCCTTTAGGGATATCCTTCTTCTTTCTGATTGTTTGAGAAACTTATCCATTCATGCTCTTAATTATTTTCTTGTGACTATCTGAAGTACTTATTGCTTACTCTGATCCAATGTCTTGCTCAACACTTCCTTTCTTTTAGTCTTGATTTTGTATCTATTCATGCTGAATAGAATAGTTAATAATGGACCCCAAGTTTTTATGTAGTTTTCAATCTTGTTATGTAACTTCTGATATCTTTCAGTAGTCATGCCTAGTTAAAGAAATTTTATTAATATATATCTTCTATTATCTAAAAAGTTAGATCCCTCATGAATCTTTTTGTCTTGTAATGATGTGAGGGTTTTGACCAGTACCAGGGATCCTCATCGATTATGGTATCATTACACAATATCTGGGAAAATGCATTCTCAATCCTAGAGAAGGGCAGTATTTTACATTCCTTTGCTTTTTAGTCTTATAGCTTGACTGGGATAAGAAAATAACCTTCTTGATATATTTTGCCTGACTGGGATGATATGAAGTTGAAGGCCTCAGTTTAAACAAATAATCATCTTTTTATCACTTAGGAAATTTAATGCCCATCCTAATGATCTCGTGATTTTTTTGCTTTAGTTATGTTTTATTTGGAGAAGTGGAGGAGTTTGTACTAGTGATTACTCTTTCTTTTACCAATAATGTTATCAGAATATATGATATAACTAGTAAGAGCTTGTTTATATTCTGCTACCAATGTGTTTTATGTCAATCAATCATTTTTAACAAAAGCTATGTCTATTTTGTGTC